ACTAGACAGTCGATCCTGGGGAGTGGGAAGCTGTCCTTTGGGCAAGCTCGGTTCAGGTCGGTATAATCGACATACACGCGCCATTTACCGTTAACATTTTTTACCAGAACGGGGTTGGCCACCCAGCTCGGGTAATGGACTTCCCTGATAAAGTCGGTTGCAAGGAGCTTCCTGACCTCCTCGTCAACTGCTCGCCAGCGCTCTGGGGCTAAGTTGCGTTTCTTCTGTCTAACGGGCCTAACTACAGGATCAATATTTAGCTTGTGAGTGATGATGCTTGGGTCTATGCCGGGCATCTTTGTCGCAGACCATGCAAAAACATCTAAATTTTCAAGTAAACAACTCAATAGTTGAGATCGTAGAGGCTCCTCGATTGAAGCGCCGATCTGGAGTGTCCGAGCTGGGTCTTCTGTCGAAGTTGGGACGGAGATAGTCTCTTCTGTGGGTGTAGCTCGCTCCTCACATTGCTTCGCAGGTCACTCTAGCTCGAGGTCGTCTGCCACCTTGGCTTTCCCTTTGAGGGCGGCGATGTAGCACTTGTGAGACTCAAGCTGATCGCCTCGCACCACCCCAACTCCGAAGTTTGTAGGGAACTTCATCGCCAGATAGTAGGTGGAGACCATTGTACGTAGGGCATGGGTGATGGGTCGACCTATTATGGCGTTGTACGGGGAGGGAGTCGCGACCACCAAGAAGTCATGGTTGAGCCTCACTATGCTAGGCCAGGTGCCAACCTCCACAGGTATAGTGATTCTCCCCAGGGGCCTAACTTCCTCTCCGTTGAAGCCCACCAAGGGAGTATTTGCGGGCTTGAGATTGCCTTCTTGGAGCTGAACCTTGTCGAATGCCGCCTTGAAGAGAATGTCCGCCGAGCTTCCGGAGTCGACGAGGACATGCTTGACTTCAAAGTCGTTGATCCTTATCTTCACGACGAGCGCATCATTGTGGGGGTAGTGGACCCTGCGCGTGTCGTCCTCCGTGAAGAAGATCGGGTCTTCCGTCCTTGGCCACTTTGGGGGGTTCTGGTCTTCCCTTTCGACCTCGCGAGTTGATGTTCGAGCTGCAGCCGAGGTGCAGCCCGCGACAATCGATCCTCCGACGATCACATGGATAGTCCCCCGAACTGGTCTCTCTTCTGGGGGCTGCCTCTGCTTGCCTGCTGGATTCAGGAGCATCTCTGCTTTGCTCCCCTGCCAACTTGCTTTATTATTTTTATTCTGTACAAAATTTCTTAAGTATCTGCGACGGATGAGCTCCTCTATCTCGTCGCAGAGGTTTTTACAGCTCCCAATACTATGACCGTGATCTTTATGGAAGCTACAATACAAATTTTTATTCCTTACATTAGGGTCCCCTTTCAGCCGGGGTGGCCACTTCACGTATGGGGCATCCTTAATTGCCATAAGGATCTTGGCCCGCTTCGCGTTAAGGGAAGTGTAGTTTGTCCTCTCTGCTGGTGGAACTCGGAAAGGCTGACCTGGTCTTGCCCTCCAAGCTTGATCTTTCTTCTTCTTGCTGTCCCCCTGGGCCGAGGACTCGGCTTCCCTTTTTCTTTTTTCAAGAACCTGCTCATCCTTCTGGTTGATTTCCTCCTCCGTCCTTATAAACTGATCCGCGAGCTTGAGGAATTCGGTTACCGTCTTAGGCCAATTAACCACCACGTACCACTTAAATTCTTTGTGCGTGATGCCTCTCTTGGCCGTGGTGAGCTGAACTGTGGGGTCCAGGTCGGGTATCTGTAAACAAGCATCATTGAACCGCTTGATGTAACTTCGGATAGATTCTCCTTCCCTCTGGACTATGCCAAGGAGGCTCTCCTGGGTCCTTGGGCACCACTTGCTGGTGGCGAAGTGAGAAGAGAAGACTTGCACGAATTGCGCCCAGCTTTTTATTGATCTGGGCGCGAGGTTCCTGTTCCATGTACGGGCCACTCCTCTGAAAGTGGTGGAGAAAGCCACGCACATGCAGGACTTACTGCTCCTTGCCAAGTGCATCTGTGACTGAAAGGCATCTACGTGTTCATTCGGGTCGAACGATCCGTCATATTTGTCCAAGGGAGGTAGTTTGGACGACCAAGAGTTCTAGAGATAGAGGGGATGGTACAGAGAGGAGCGGAATGGCTTTTATTTCACCCGAGCTTACCTCTTCCTTACTCTTGAGCTCGAGTAGGTTGTGTGTTGCTGTTCGGCGAGTTCGGTGACGTCTCTGCTGCTTTTTTGCGGCCTCTGCATTGGTGCTGCTAGCCTCGGTATTGTCGGGCACAATTTTCGCAGGGAGGGGGATAGAATGTTGGTGATGGCTGCGGATAGAGGGGTCTTGCCTGGAGTTTGTAGCCAAGACCTCGAACTGGTTCTCCACAAGCGGGGCCACGAACTCGGAAAGCTGAGGTGATGCGGGCTTGGTAGGTTGGGACCCTCCCGACCTGACTACGCGCGGTGAGGCAGGGGTGACTGGTCTTTCCTTCCTCCTGTGGGATGAGACTTGACTCTTGAGAGGATTCTGGGTCTAAGATGTCTCTCCTCGGCGAGAAGGATGCTCGTTCTGACRGCGAGACCGTACTTGTTGCGCGGCCGGATGCCGAGGAGGAAGCGGCTGTTGGGTCTGAGGTAGTGGAGGAAACTGCTACTGATAGTGATGCTGAGAAACTTGGTGCAGCACTTGCTGCTGATATAGTTGGAACTGTTGGACTTGTTGCATCTGAGCTTGCATGGCTCGCATGCATTGTAGCAGGTCTTCAAGCTGGTTTTAGGCGTTCACGGGAGGAACAAGGGAGGGTTCAGTGAAGGTTGTTCCAACCGTGAAAGGGAGTGGAGCGTTCACGGGTGCCATTGTCTGAGGCACGTTCAGGATGGGAACTCCATCCGCAGAGAGGGGGATGGTGAACTGTCCAATACACACCACTCGGACCTGTAGTTGCTCCCCAACAGTGTTCATTTCTGCACTGCGTGCTACGTTGCTGGAGGAAGCCATGAGAACTGAAGTTTGCCATGTTTTGGTGGAAGGCTTTATGAAGCGTTCCCACAGACGACGCCAAATGATGTAGCGTGATTTGGTCACTCCTAACTGGCGGGGGCCTCGCTCCTAGCTAGCAACGGACAACACCTGAGAAGGAGAAGGTGAAGGGTTCCCGGGGAGCTCGCCCAGCGGGAATACTCCGATGCTTAAGTTAGAACTCGGTGAAAAGCTTAGAGAGTAGTAACGAGCTAAGAGTGGAGATGCACACTACTCGATTACCAAAAATTCAATTACCTTTTTCCTTGGGGGTCAAAACCCTTATATATTAATGCGGTGCCAAATCGGGTGTAACCGCCTCTGATTCTCTGCTACAGCCGTTATTCGTCAGGCTGATTTGATTGGCGTAGGTATCCATCGCAGGGTACGGTCCTGTCACTTGAGAGACGTTATGCAGAGCTGGCGTGCACGACGCCGCCTGACGTGAGACGTGGGCGCAGTCCTTTGGACTTGCAGGTGCTACGCCGCTGGATAAGAGACGTGGGAGTAGTCTGACAAGCACGATTCTGTTGGATAAGAAGTTTCCTGAAGAAACTTGGACGGTTATTGAAGCTCATTTGGTTGCAGCAAGGTTTTGAACAAATTGCATTGTTATTGAAGGTGACTTCGGACTCGTTGTTTCAACAGTTTGAGAAGTATTGAATAAGCTAGTGGAGTATCAAAAAATGGGAAAATTAATGATGCCGGAAAGACATTATATTGAAAAAGGCTTTGACCCAAGGTTTTTAAAACTGGATTGTATAAGGAATCATTTTGGGGGTTGGGTTCCCGGGTTGAACGACCTGATCGTTTGGTCCGAATGGATGGGTTGCTTTGACAAAAAAATAAAAATAAAAAACAAAAGAATGACTAAAAATTGTTGTCTAAGTCGATGATTCGACTGCATGGTCAATGGTTTGCTGACCAAATCAATGATTTTTGACCAAAAAATGGTTTTGGAATAAAACAAAACCCATCAAGTGATTGATTCCCGGTTTTTTTTGGTCCAGTCCAATTTTGAAAACCATACTTGACAAATCAACCCTAGGTGATTTTTGATGAAACCACGTGATTGGTTATCACTTGTATGATGCCAATTCATTGATTATAAGGTTTTCGGTATCATGTCTTTTCGACATCATAGTTAAATCCATCAAAATTATTCTTGAATATTGCTACTCTCTATGTCGAAACTACAACCTTACAGTTTTGCACATGCATGTTTGGATGATAATGTAGAGTGGATTGGTCGGTTACTTTGGGTCATAAACTCATAATAGGTTTGTTGTTTGTTCTTCAAGTTTACATTGGCACTACAAACGGCGCCTCATATGCATATCTCAGCATGCATTGAAAACTTTTCATGCTGTATTTGTTATAATGAGATATTGCTATAATGAGATATTGCTAATACATAGTTGGGATGTACTGTGGGCACTATACAGATTCAAAATCGGCTTCAGTCAAGCAAAATCTGTTCAAAACACCTGCATTTTCCGTACTTCTATGCTTTATTTCATGGGGAGATATTCTCAATACAAGGCTATGATGAATGTTCGAATGCCAGTTTCTATGAATTCTTGATTTTCCAGTTTGAGTTGGATGTTCAAGTCCAACACATTCTAACACCACATCATCGTGTCCATGCATTCATATGGGTTCCAATATTATGAAGATGTGCGGACAGAGATCATGTTGTACTAGACAGCTTTTGATCATATTGTACTCTGGACAGTTTTTGTTGGGAGCAGTTGGTCCCCGTTTAGAGAGTATTATAATTGGGATATGCTCCTTATGGAGCGCTCTTCACACCGACTTTACATCACATCCCACGACTCTATGAATAATAATTTACGAGTACGGAAAATATTCCCGATGTGCCGCTAARACATGCTGTGAGGTCCCCATAAGGAGCGTTCAATGAAGAACAGAGGAGCAGATCCGGACTCAAGAGTATTAACCGTTTGATTGAAACAACGCTGACATTCAACATGGACGGATAGATCATCTGACGAAGATACTCATTACAGGTTTTTGTGCACGCATGCCCCCTGCCCCCTACCGGCGCATTGTAGGGAAGAACCCAACATAAAACAGTAATGGCCGCGAGGGAGGTGATTACTGATTGGGAACACGCAGGGAGAATAAACTCTCTCATCTCCTCCCTGAAACTATCGTGGCTTTAGTTGCGGAGTAAGGGGATTAAAACGAAAATGCCTTGTATTCTTCGGTTCGTTAGGTCTTTTATCTGTTGAGACCAGAAGTTCCAGTTGAAACCCTAAAAGTTACAACACAAGGAAGATCTTTAGCCTGTGATTGTAGGAAACATGGCGCATGGCGGCTACGGCAAGCGTAGAGTCGCCGAGAGGAGGTCCGTTGGTCGTCGTTCCAAGGGATTGGGGGTCGAGAAGAAATCCAAGACGGTATCTCTCAAGAATCAGATTCGGTCGGTCGAGCGAATGCTCCGAAAGGTAGTCAAACTTCACTTCTTTGCATAACTCCGGAGTTTCTTTTCTACACTTTGATTTGGTCAATGGTTACTGTTGGTTGCTTGGGCTTGGGTTTATAGTTTTGTAATGACCATGCTATCTCTTTGATGCTGTATTAGTTTCTGTTGTTCAACGGCTCTAATGTGTCGTGATAACGCACAAGAGAACTATATTCAGAAGAACATTAACTGGACTTGTCTGTTTTCTATGGCACATATGAGATTTTCATCATGAAGCTATATTATAATTCTGTTCATAATACTCTCTTTTTCTCTCTCTAAACTTTTATTGGTGATGGAACTATAATAACAAATCTAGTTCCCATAATTTGCTTGCTAATATGGGTATTTTTCATCTCACTATTGAGCTATTCTACGTTATGGCAATCTAATATGCTTTTACATTATGTGAGAGAGGACCATTCTCCAAGTAGATTTGGCTTTTCGTAGTGTGTGTGCTGATGGGATCAGCAGAGCTCCTAATATTTTATTTTTCTTGGTATTCAAGAACCTTCCCCCTGAAGTCAGAGAGGTTCAAGAAAAGAAGTTAGAAGATCTCAGGAAGCAGCAGGAGCTCCAAACTCGCTTGGCCATAGAACGCAAAATCTTTCTGCATGATAGAAAGATAAAGTTTTTTGGTATGTTATTTTCTTGCATCACTTATGCCATTCAAGTACGTGTGCTGAAGAGTGTTCTATTTTGTTTGCAATAAGTGCTCTTTATCATTCTTTGTCTTTTATTACATTTCTGTAACTCAGAAAGAAGAAAAATAGAAAGGAGAATAAGGCGCTTGGAGAAACTCCAACGTGCATCATCTGATCAGGCCCGAGAGGAAGAACTTTCCAGGCAACTTACAAAGTTACAAGAGGATCTTGAGTATGTGAGGGTAAGCTCTATGTGAGCTGCTTTGTTACAATGTTACTAGCTTCTTGTTTTGTGAATGATTTTAGATGATTTTGTAAATTTAAGTGTTAGATATAATTTAAAGACTTTGAATGTGCTTCTAGATTAATTCATGGTTGTTACTTGTACGCATGACCTGATAAATTGCAGTTCGGGTAGGTTAATATTTTCATTGTGTATACATGAATGTGCTACTAGGTTAATTCATGGTTGTTACTTGTATACATGACCTGATGAATTGCAGCTTGGGTAGGTAAATATTTTTATTGTGTGTACATGAATGTGCTACTAGAATAATTCATGGTTGTTACTTGTAAACATAATCTATTCAAACTGCAATTCTTGGCTAGGCAAATATTTTCATTCCGTAGGGGCTAGATTACCATGAAAAGCATTAGCCTAAATTTATGTGGTAAGTATTTTCTTTGTATTGCAGTTCTTCCCCAAGACTGAGAAATATGTACCTTTATTTGCTGGAGGAGATGATGCAGACATTATTGATAAGAGGAACAGATTGCGCAAGCAAATTAAAGCCAATATCAAAGCTGCAGAAGCTAGTGGAAAAGAGTTAGAAGGCAGCTTCTTCACCCTAATTTTGAAAGAACTTTCTTTAGTTTCAGTATATGCATGAAAATCTAGTTCATTTGTCACTGTGTTGTTTTATTGGTTCCATTTATCACTGTTGTTGCAATTTGCAGGTGGTTAAGTCAGACTGTTTGAACTATTTGGTCAGCTTAGATTGCATTTGGCATGCTTTTAGAAGATTAATTCTGATAAATTTCGTGACTTTAAGAATCATTTTAAGTTTGGATTTATGAAAACTTTTGAAACTCATTTGTTTTCTGGGCTCAAAAACTAATTCCTGGTGATGAAATTGATGATAACATCTCTCTCCCTGCAAACACACATACACACACCAATCCTCTCTCCTCTTTTCTGTTCTCTCTCTTTTTGCTGTCCTCTCTCCTCTCTCCCCCTTCTGTCCTCCCTCTTTTGCCTTCCTTACTCTCTGTTTCTCTCCCTTCCTCTCTCTTCTTTCTCCCCTCTCCCTCCTCTCTGTTCTCCCATTTCTCTCTTGTGTGTCTCTTCTCTATCTCCTCTCTATATCCTTTCTTCTCTATCTCATTTCTCTCTCACTTGTTTAATCAAGTTCAATTTTTGGGTTGAACTTGTGGCACAATTTGAGAAACCCAAAGGACTTTTTTTTATCAACAAGGATCCATTTACACAGGTTTAAGTATTCAAATGGGTCAAAATGGGTGGGTTAGATTGGGGTGCAACCCATGTACATATTAGAAATATGGGCTATTGATGGGTATGGGCCGCTGGTGGATGGTTTGATCATCAACTGGCATCCAACGAAACCCAATCTATCAATTTACCATCTCTATTTACATACACTCTTATTGGATCAAAATGGGATGTACTCGTATCAATATAAAAAGGGGATATAATTAGTTCGTAGCCCCCATTAAGATATTTATATCTACATTGCCCAACTAGTTGGTTGGCTAGGTGATTTGCCTCCAGAACTCTTAGGGGGTTGCTTAGTTGATATCAAGGCATTGCTTTAACTAGTATTACTTTCTCCAACCAGGCTTTCCAGAAAGTTATTCTGTAGGATTTCTGAGCATAATATGGCAAAAGAAGAGGGGAAAAGTATTATGGAGATGTTCAAGGGCTGCAGCTTGTTGGACTATTTGGGAAGAGAGAAATCAAAGGCTGTTTGAAGGAAAAAAAAGAAGTTTGGATGCTCTAATTGAAGTCATTACAGTTAGGGTGAATGGGTGATCCATTGGGTGAAAACTTTAAATCTTTTTGATGGCATTCCCGTGGTAGATTTGAGGAGGAAGTGGCTGAATCTGAGCCGTTGAAAGAGTTAGTTGTACCTACTTTGTCTCCCCCTACTAATGGTTTCATCAAACTGAATTTTGATGGTAGCAGTGAAGGAAATCCTGGACCTTCAGGTATTGGAGGTGTTTTTAGGGATGAAGATGGCAAAATTGTGGCTCTTTTCTTTGCTTCCATTGGTGTTGGGGACTCCTTAAGAGCGGAAATCCTTGCTGTGTTGGAAGGAGCCAAGAGAGATAAAGAGCTTAACCTTACTAAGATATTAATTGAATGGGATTCTAAGCTGGTTATTGGCTGGCTTAGAAAAGAGGAGGAGAGGGGATGGTGGACTTTCATGAATGAGAAAAGGAAATTTAGATACTTGACACAGGGAATGGATGTCAAGCTGAATTGGTTTAAGAGAGATGCCAACTCCATGGCTGATGCTTTAGCGCTAAGCAAAGGGTGGGAAGGAACTCTAATTTTTGGGCTATATTGTAATTCATTTTATGGCTTCTATCTGGGGGAGTTAAGAGAGTTTATCTCCTCCTTTTTTCATCTCCCTTTGGCTTAATAATTAATGAATTTCAGTTATTGATCGAAAAAAAGATAATCATTAACTTACCAACTAGCACAGAAACACTGATGCACCTACAAAACCTAAATGAAAACCCACTATAATGCCACATGAGCACTCCACAGAAAACATCCACTGGCTAACTGATCATAGATGTACAAATAGCTTCCTTTTGTAAAGTTCTTGTGATGGTACATCACATGGTCTCTAATCTGTTGAAGATTGTCTCAGTTTACAAGAGCAAAATGGTGTTCAGCTGATAAAAAAAAGAGCAAAATGGAGTTCACTGGACTTGAGAACCAAACTTGGAACACCATCTTTAAACTAATTGAAAAGGAAGATGGATTTTTCAGAAGCTTCCATGTGTCAGATTCAAGTCTAGGATGCTGGTAAGTAGCAATAAAAGTTGGAATTATGTATGTTTGGCGGGGTGTTTGTCAGAGAAGTTGTGGATTGGGTGACTAAGAAGTGGAATGTTTTTTGAAGAATCAAGAATAAAGAAAATTTATTAAAAGAAAAGATTACTTTCTATCACATTGGTTGTCTAGATGACACACCAACAACATCAAGTACACACTTCAATTACATGTCCAGAACATCAACTGAGAATCTTAATCCCTCTTCCCCTCCCCCCACTATCCTACTCCTCTTTACTCGTTCTTGTCCAATTTTTCCTCTTGTTCCTCTTCCTCGTTCCACCCCTTGTTTTTCTCTAGAATCTCTTTCTCTCTCTCTCTCTCTCTCTTCTTTCTTCTTCTGCTYGAATTTCTTGAACGCTATTTTGGCAAAACCTTCCCCTCCCCAGAAGACCTATCCAAGTGATTTCCCAATCTGAACCTCCCTCTCTACCAACTTTTCTATATTTACCTCCCCATCTTGTATTACCTCTGAATCAGTTCGAACAATTTGAGGGGAGTGCACAGTTACCTCCTCTCCTTCCCCCTCCCTTGTTTTGTTAACTTCATCCTTTCCCTTCCTTTCCCCTCTTCCTGACTCTATAGTAGATCCGATTGTTTCCTTTTCGGCTTTTCCTATTATAAACCTTGTTCTGAGATTCTCCTCCTTCCTCCCCTGCCCTCTGTCTTTTATTTGCCTTTGTTTTCTCCCTTTCTCCTCCTTTTAAACTCTCTTCATCCTCACTAATCTCCTTATTTAACCCTTCTAGTAGAGGAGTGCCCGGTACGAAGTATTGGCTCACCTCCTCGGATCTTGGAGTCAAGTCAGTATAGATGGAGTCCCAATTTTTTCTTCTTACTTTCCCCCTTCCTCTGCTCCTTCTTCCTCCGAAACAATATTGTTTGGAGAAGAGATATGCTCCTCTCCCTATTTGAAGGAACTCCCCTGCAACCCCGTCACTTCTCGTCTGTCATTAAAATTTTCCTCCCTATTATCTCCCTTTTCTTATGTGGTTTGCACTCCCTACAGCTCGCCTGACTAAGTGGAATGTTGTTTGTCTAGTGGGGGTCTTCCTCTGTTTATTCCTTCAGATAAGGAGGAAGCTGAAAGTGTTCTGGAATGGGAATGACRGCAATGTCATATACCAGACCTGAGAGTTGAGTGAAGGACCCTATTGGTTAGGTCATTTAGTAAGGTCTCCTTGCTTCTCAAAAAAAAAAAAGGGATAATCAGTAAGTTCTCCTTGATGAAGTTTTTTTGGGATTTATTTTGTGGGTCTTCAGGTGTGGTACTGTGGTGCATTCAAAACCTTTCATGCCATGGGTTATCCTTCTTCCATTGAGCTTATTTTTTGCTGGAGAACAATATTCTTGTAGTTGATGGAGAAGATGGAGTCTGTGTTAGAGTTGATACAACAATGGGGATGTTTATGTGCTAGGCAGTGAGGACTTGTAACAATTAGCAACTGGGGCTTCATGTCATAGGGACGATAGAAAGTCATGACTTGAGGTTGAAGATGTTGGAGTATTTAGGTGTAAGGGCAGAAAAGGAATTTCTTAAAGGTATAAAGTGAGGTGGAGTGGAAGGGTCATGGTACTTTTAATGGGTCCCTTAATGGTGGTGCATTCCTGAAAAAAGACATCCTTGAGGTAAGAGTATGTGAGAAGTATTGTCAACACCTCTTTCTTCTCCCTACAAAAAAGGCTAAGATTATGTGGTGATGCATGAGGACAACACTACTCTGGGTGATCTGGGAAGAAAGGAATGCCAGATCTTTTAAAGATAAAAGTCAGACAAAAGAAACACTAATTAAAAATATCGTGTGAGGGTTATTGATAAAAAATCTATGGAGGTATTTTCTCTGTTCACTGATGATATCATTGGAAATTGGCAGATTGTGGTGTGTTCATCTTTGGCAAGGACAACTAGAAACAACTCTTGGTCCCCTCCAACCATAAATGCCATTAGGCTAAACTTTGATGGTTGCAGCTTGGACTGTCCAAGAAGCTCTAGAATCAGAGGAGTGTTTAGACAAATAATGGTAATGTTTTAGCTACATTCTCTTGTTCATTAGGTTTTGGGGGCCTCCAYGGGCAGAATCATAGTTGTCAAGGTGACGAGGCGAGGTTAGGCGACGCCTAGGCGATGGAATCTATAAGTATAAAATCTATAGCCATATAATCATATTCATATATATATTAATGATAGGTTCGACTGTTAAAAACTGAAGTGAGAAGTGAGAACAATGACTGAAGTAGTGAAGGGAGGAGAGGAGTATAGGGTGGAGCCTCTGCTTTTTCAAAATAAGCAAAAAAAAAGATGATGAGTGGAGAACATAGTTTTCAAGGCGCCAAGGCGAGGCTAGGCGACAGGGGGGCGCCTTGTCGCCTAGTCGCCTAGGTGGGCACCTGGGCGACGCCTAGGCGATGAATTTTTTTAAGTGAAACCATATATCCTAGGGTAGTTACCTAGGTTCCATAACCATCTTTCCTTAATAATTATTCATAATTTTCATAAGAGAAGTATAAATTTCATGTTTAAGTCCAGAAAATCAACATTTTATGAGACGAAAAAGAACAAAGGAAAGAAAATTCAAAAAATATAGGGGCTGAACCCCTACTTTTGTTATAGGAAAGAAGAAAAGAAAAGGTGGAAGAAGAAAATCTGTTGATTAGACAAAATTTTAAGTTCTTCCCTTGCTTATTGGTTCAGGTTTTGAAAATTTTGAGGGTTCAATCAAGGATCAAAATTTCGATACGATATGCCCCTCGCATCGGGTGTATTGTATTGTATCTTTGGGGTTCCGATATATATATATATATATATATATATATATATATGAAATTGAAAACCAAAGAAATAAAAAAATAGGGGGAGTATCGTTATAAGTACCGGTACACCTCTGCCAATACACAGAGGTGTATTGATACTTTGAACCATGAGTTCAATACAGCTGTTAGCAATGTTTGCGTTGATTAAACCCTAAAAAAATAAGAAAATAATAAAAAGAAATTAGTATATAAACACGTAAAATGAATATTCTAGTTTAATAATATCTATTTTATAATTATGATGTTAAAAAAATTAATAATATAAAAGTATTTTATACCCAATGCACAAAACTGCTTGGCGATTGGGCGAGGCGAGGCAAGCCTCCAAGGGCGCCTTGTCGCCTAGGCGTCGCCTTGACAACTATGTTTTGGCCCATATATAAAGAGATGTTTTTGATTTGAGGATTGAGAATCAAATGTTATTTGATGAAGAATGATATTAAGAAGGATGAAAAAACTTGTTTAGGCTTGCCTCAAGGGGCTTCATCGAGGGTTTGGGGGCAAAATCTCCTGCCCTAGCCAATGTTCTTAAAAAAGCACATGACTGGGCTGAGGCACAAGGCAACACCAGGTGTGCACCTGGTCTTAGGCGTGACACATACCTTGAAATGTGTCTAGGCACACCTGAGTCTTGCATCTTATATCATTTGAAGTATCTGACATGATACGATTTCCTTGTATTGGGTATCATATCTTGGTAGTGGAAGGAGACTCCACAAGGTAGTAGTGTGCTGGTTCAAGCAAAACAAAGAAATGTTAAGGGTATTAGTGCTTTCAATTGAGCCAAGAGTCCAAGGAATCAAAGATTGGTCCATATTACATAAGCTGGTTTTTTTTCCCTTCCTTTTTTGGGGGTTGGTCCCTATAATAAATTTAAGAGGGTCTACAAGACTAAGGCTAAAAGAAGATTTTCTTTCTTCTACTGAACGTGGTGATCAAGCTGGATGCTAATGACATTGCCTCTATAACCACATGCAAATACATACACATTTCTCCTCATCCATCATATTATCACTTGGTAATCTCCTTCTATTCTCTTCTCAAGGCACAAGACATTTATCAGTTCTTCAATAACCATGTAGAAAGATAAAGATCAGCATTGTTAACTTGCTATTGCAATCGGAAGTCTAACTTCATCAACAACTCCATAGTCCATATAAATCAATGAAACTTCTCATGTTTATTTGAGGGTTTAAACAGTTTTTTTTTTAAGTTTTATAAACATATATTTTAGCTAACAAAATATACTTTACACAAAGATTGTCATACTGGGTTATTTCGGTCTAACTGTCTAAGAAGACTTCAATAATTTAAGTAGGAGAAGCCTCAGTACAAAAGGGGTGCAAAACTCTTCCCTTTTAAAGCTATTTCTCATTGAATGTTTATTCATTGCTGTCTCCTTGTGGCATTATTTTTTGAGGTTGATGTGCTGTGGGCATTTGATTACTTAGCATCTATGCAATATTGCAATATACCAAACTGACAATGGTAATACCTGTAAATGCGTTATTTTTTGTGTCAAACATGATGTTTCTTATCATGCATCTTGATACGATTTCGTCTTTACAAGCATCAACTTTGTACCTGCTAATTAGAAACTGAGAACAGGGTTGCAAGATTAGACGTGCATTAGCTAAATTACACCTTTAGTGATAACCTTATTATATAGTCTATTATTTTAATTCTTCTAATATTGTTTTAATAATTATGAACCTTGACTTTTTTTGGTGTGTGGTTCCCTAAACAGAAACTGGGAGTGAAGATGATGGTCAATATGCTGAGGATGATTTTTTCTTGACTGGAAGCTCAACTGATGAAGCAGATGCAGATGATGAATGGACAGATAAAAGTACAAGGTATTGGCATTTAATATATATGAAGAAATATGGTGCACCATCCAACTCTTTGTTCATATTTCTTGGTATTATTGTTTTGCAAAATGTTCTTTAATCTCTTCTTTATTAACCAAAGTAGTATCCCAGAACATATTTATATTTTGTCAGTCCCTTTGGACAGACATACAGAAGCAGCATAGTAAAGGAAAAGAAAACATGGGTAAGTTTGCAACTTCCCTTTGTGATAACTACCACAGCTTTGTGTCCTTAATTTTCAAAGTTGTCAATGTACAAAATTATGTTTTCAAGATGTCAATGCAAAGCGAGGCATCCAAGCAGATGCTAGGCACTGAGGCATGATGAGTTTCTGCAATTAAAAAAATCCAAATCCTAAGTTGTTAAAACATTTACGTAGTCTATTTACGTGATCTTAATTTAGATCTTAGAGTATAAAAATTCTTAAAAAAGGAAAAAGCCTTCCAGTAAATAGATGCAGAAAATATGAGTTCAAAATTGTTCATAATTATTAAGTATTTTAGTATATCATGTTTATTTTAATAGAATGAGTCAACCAACGAAAATATGCTGGTCATGTTTGAAAAATGCCTACCAAGCATCTTTAGAAGCCTGCTGATAAAAAAATTCATCTTTAGAAGCCTAGCCTTGTGCTTAATGGGCTGAGCAAGCACCTTTTCTAAGATACTTGAGACATTGCAATTAGGTGACCTGCCAAAACTGCCTACTTGCCTAGGCATTGCCTTGATAGCAATGATTGTTTTTAAAATTGAATTGGATGTTCTGTTCATGCTTGCAGAATATTATACAGAGTTATTGATAATTTTTTTTTTTTTTTATACAGAGTTTCTTTGAGAATGTAACATGTGCACTTCCATGTATCAAAACGAAGCATATAGATGAATACCCACATATAGCCAGAGCCCACTTATTGCTATTCCTTGTAACAGTGCGTAAAATGTACATATACAATAAACTGGAATAAAAAAGTGAAGATGATTGAACTTTCCTTGAGCATTATTACATGGGCAGCCATGACTCATGAACACAATTATTGTTATTCCTTAATAACTGTTTATTTGAAGGTGACTAGATTCTCAATAATTGGGGCCATTAGTTGGTGTAATGGTAAAATCTTGGGCTGGCAAGCATGATAATGTAGGTTCAAATCTGAGAGTGGCCACTTTGTGCAAAAAATGGCAAAGGTTAGGACCATATCCAGTCTACCCCTCCCAAGACCCCAGATAGCTGGGACCAACATTGGGCAATGGCCTTATTAGATTCTCAGAAACCCTTGCATCCCCACCCCAACCAAAAGAAAAGAAAATTAAAATGTTGTCTACAATCCAAGGTTCTAAATATCGATACGCCTGATACGCCGGTAGGGGCGTATTGGGCAGTATCAGTACTTTTTTTTAACGTTTTTTTTTCAAATCTGGTTCAGGAGGCCGGTTTAAGGTTCCTCCACCCCTGAACCGGTCTGTAGGGGCGTATCGGGGTGCTCCCGATACGATACGTATCGGCCGATATGGGCTGATACGTGTTGATTTTTTTAACCTTGCTACAATCAACTTACTGCAAGGGTTGTTTGCCATATGTTGCTTTTGCTTGAACCCTTGAGCTGCTGCCCTTAGCAAAGATGCATGATTGTGTTGCCATCATTTTGTTTTGTTTCGCAGAGAACAAGCATCAAGTGCTTCTGGGAAAGCAGCATCTGGTATGTCCAGTGATGAAAAGAATCAGGTCAGATTTTTTGTTTTATTGATCAATAAATCCGGTCGTCTATCTAATATGGGTATTTGGCACAATCATAGGAGGATATATATTAAACTATTAATTATTACTAATTTTCCCTTCACTTTATTGTACAGAGGCAAAAGTCTGCCCGAGCACTGATGCCACCTCCTCGCCCATCAACCAATTCGTTAAGAAGTGGAGGCCATGGTCAAGTGGGACTTGAATGTTCATCAAGAAAAAGATCATCCAGGGGGAAGGTTTACTTGTCTACAAACAACACATCGCATAGCAGGAGTGGTTCTTCCTCCAGAAATTGGGGATCCTCAAATGGACAGACAGGTCAAAGTAGTAATCTAAGTTCCAATTCTGATGCTCACAAACCCCGAAGAAAAAGGAGGCCAAAGAAGAAAAAACAACAGGTTTATTTCTTCAAACTAAAAGCATGTTAAAGGATCTTGATTTTCAAAAATGCGTTATATGGATTTATTTATAAAAAAAAAGTGCTTTATGGAAGTTGTTATTGACATTGTTGTTATTGTGAACTAGAAATTCGGTTTCTGTTTTGATTTTGAATTACTTGATGTCTGCTTTGGTGGGATTCTGAAGATAATGAATGCCCACTAGTTTAGGTTTTTCTTGATTGGATCTCCTTTCTCATGGTATCTTGCCTAAGAGTGTCATTGGCAATACTTTTTATCTGATCTTAGCTTCATGAGTTGTTTGAGTGCACAAGTGCTTTTCAAAGTGTCAATAAGACATCCAAATGCTGACATGGATATGRACCCACTAGTTTTGGAGTATCCTGATAAACAGATGACTGTTACCAACTATCTACTAGTTAGGTCCAAATTCTTGATTTCCTACCTTGACTCTAACCCTCAATACCAGAACTAAATGCTAGAAGAGGAGAGTGTAAAAACTGATAAAAAAAAAGAGAAGGGTGTAAAGATAGAGGAGGCGGAGTGTGGAGAAGATCTTGTTTCAATTGACGAAGTGTGTAAAGTTGGTAATAAAGTGGGTCTTACCAGGGTAGTTGAAAATGAAATAGAGGTGGGCAAGAAATTAAGAGTTTTCTTTCATGGAGGTAAGAGATGGACAGAGAAGCGTTCATGAAGCTAGAAGAAAGGAAAGAATAGAATGCAAATTTTAATAGCTATAATGCGTAGTCTAACAAGTAACCTGGAAAATTGGGGAGGAGAGGGTGTAGTTTAAAGAAATTTTATGAGGATGGTTTTGGAGGGTTGAAATGTAGATAGAGTTGCAGGTAGGAGGTTTGGTGGAAAGGGTAAAAACATTAGTCTTGTGTTTATTGTTTTGCTTGTTCTGGTCATATTTGGGCTGTTATATCTTTTGCCTTTCATAGTTTCTTTCTCACTTCTGGAATAAAAAGCATTACACTCTTCTGATTTAATAGAATTATTTTACCGTTGCTAATAGAAAAGAAGGATCTGTGACAGAATTCTCATTTTCTTACATCTTCAGCATTAAATGTTTTTTCTCAAAATAAAAATGGTTTGTTCTACCAGTTTTGTAGGCATTTTGTTGACCCCAATCTCTTGAGTACTATTATTGCATATTAACTTTGCTTGGAAATATAGGAAACTTCCAGTGTTTTGATCATCTATATGGTAGGATTTAGATGCCGACTTTCTTTTTAGGTGTACATGCCGAGATTGGTTTAAAAGTTGATGCATGAAAGTTTGATTCTTACCTGAGATTTTAACACTTAAGTTTTGATAATGGAAATTGAGTTTTTAGTTCTTGGTTCCTAGTCATTTTGCAACCTATCCTATTTTTGCTCATACACCCTAATTGATCTACTAATTTTCTATTTGGTTCTCCTTTTCACCCCATATAAACCTTGGATAGAATCGTAGGACCAGGTTTGAGCTCCATTTAGTTGAGTTTTTGAAGTAATTACGTTACATTACCCTCCACAAACCTCCCATTACTTWACCAATAATCTTGTGTACCCTTGGAAATTTGAATAGCCATAACTCAATGGTGATCCCAGCTACCCAGGATTTTGGGATGGTTGAACTGGATACGGATTTAATCTTTGGCATTTGTTTTGCACAAAGTGGCTGCTCTCAGACTAACCTGCCTGCTCACTCATGTAAGCAGTCAGCCCAAGATTTTTACCATTGCACGAAGCAAATTGTTATTTTGCAAATGACTAAAATGCCACTAACCTGAGGTACCTACTTGAAGTAACAAAATGTATGAGCATGAGGGCAGAACAATGTTATCTCTTGGTACATTAGATGGAAAGTCCTGACAACTGTTAGGTTTCCAATTCATAACTTCTGGGACAACCCAACTCAATGTTTAGATCTTGGCGCAGAAAGCCAGGTCATGGTGCTTCTTATTTTATAAAGTTTATAAATATGTGTATGACTTTGGATAAACTGTTCAATAAAAATACATCATGTAATGCCAGTTTCACAACCAGTCTACGATCCTGCATCAGAGAATGAATTGCATAGAGAGGTTCAGAATCTCAAAGCTTGGGAGATGATGAGGCTGAAGTTTGAAAGAGGCAGAAGTGGTAGGAAGCTTGAGGCAGGAGTTTCAAAAAGCAAAAGCAGCAGAGAGGGGTAGTGGAAATTAAGGGTGTCAATGGACTGGTTTTGGATTGGACCCCATCCAGTCCAAAAGCAATTTGGACGGATTGGATGGACCAATCCGGTCCAAAATATTTATTAGATTGGATTGACCTGGTCCGTCCATAACAAATTTATATTGGATTGGGTTGGATTAAGCCAATATCTGGTCCATTGATATAAGATAAGAATATATGTATCAATGGACTGGGTTTGGGTTGGAACCAATCTAAATCAAAATGAATTTGAACAGATTGGACAGTCCAGACATTAAATTGGACCGGTCCAAATTGGTCCAAAACATTCATTGGATTGGATTGGACCTGGTTCATTATAATGGACTCACATTGGACTGGATTGGATTGGACCAAATCCAGCCCAATTGACACCCCTAGTGGAAATGACGTGYTTATAGGATGGGTGTTGGCTGTGTTCATGCCTTCATTGGAGGGTGATGGGGTTTGTGACTTTTGGATATGTTCTGGATTGTTTGGGTATATTGTTGTTGACTTTTTGAGGGTCTAAGTTGGGTTCTGTCTGTCTGAGTTCTTCAATCTGGCTTTAGCCTTTTTGTCCATGGTCTTCTTGGGTATAGCAGCTGCTGTATAGGTGATTGGGTGTGGGTATGGTCCTTTTTGTTGTCACTTCAGAAACACCACAGAGGATGCACTAGCTAGATTACTATCCTTTGTCTTCATCTGATAATGTGTTAAGATCTTGCCAAGAGCCACCAATCCTGATTTTGATTTCATGCACCTCTAATCAGCTTGCCATAAAATGGCTTTATGGAAGTCACCTTCTGTTTTATTTTATTTTTTTTGTTTGGTACAACAGAAGTCACCTTTTGGGTCATCCATCCGTTATCCTTTTGTCTTCTAGGTTCCAGCTGGATTAACTCTTAGGTATACTCAGTATCCTTGTACATTCAATTTTCCAATCTAATAATTATCTACCAAAAGATGGATTGTATACCACTCGCTCCTTTTTTCTCTCATAGCAGGGATCATTGTATTAGCATCTAACTCACTTGTATGGATGGCTAGAGTCTTGTACTTCTGGTTACCAGCTGCCGTTACTTTTGTGAAGCAAAATATCTTCAGATATCAGATGAATTCTTTTTGTGTTCTACTAATTACTCCATTCTTTTATATAGTAGTTCATCTAGATTCTCTTTGTATAGAATCATCAGAGCAATGAACAAGGACGATGAATTGATTTAGAAGGTGCCCAAGGGGATTTCTGTGGAAGCATAGATTGAGTTATTCTTCATGAGTGAATCAAATTCCACTTTTCAAATTGAGTCAATTAATTATAGATATTAGTATGTCTTTGTTGTCAGAGGTTTTGCTGGAGCTGAAACATGGTGTAACACTTGGTCCATTTCATTACTTGAACATCTAGAAATCTCAACATATGGGGGCCATGACAACTTAATAGGTGGGGTATTTGCTACAGCTAGGGGTGAGCATTATTCGGTTAAAACCAAAAACAGAAAATTTTGGTTTTGGTTTTTTCGGTTAGGTTAATTTGGTTTTAGGGTATTCTAGTTTTCAGTTTCAGTTTTCAGATGTGAAAAATTAGTTGACAAAAAAAGTGAATTAACTGAATTTCATTGTCGGGTTATATATATATATATATCAATTTCAGTTTACCCTCTAATAATTTTGGTTTATTTGGTTCGGTTTTTAATTGAATAAACCAAATGCTCACCCCTAGCTGCACCAATCCTTGATTCAGATTAAAGAGTCACTTGATTTAATCTAGCAAAAAATACAGTAGGAAGGATGCTGTCAGAGAAAGTACAGTCTTATGCCTACAATGTAACCATTTCAATAATAAACTACTTCATCGTCTTCTTTTATTCATATATATATATATATATATTTCTCCAAGGGGCTACACAACGGGGGTAGCCCATCCCCCAACCCAGGTGCAGGCAGGATTTGATCCCAAGTCTCCGCTTCAACCAGCAGGAGACCTTACCAACTAACCGGTTGGCACCTTGCTCTTCTTTTATTCGTAATTAAGTAACTGGATTTGGATACTTTTTTTGTGGAGTAACTGATGATCGAGGCATTGCTTATCATATCCTCAGTGCAATTAATGATAAAGAAGAAAGTTATTTTGGAGAAAAAGTAGTGGTACAATTTATGAAAGAAATTGATTACTTATATATTGACATTTTAGAGAAAATTCTGAACTATGTATTCTGTAAACCTGTCTCTTCTTTGAGCGGTACATCTGTATTGATAGCTATAATCTTTACATGTATCGAGTCATAAGTTCATATCTCTAATTTAATTTATTCTTTTATTTTTTACATCTTCAGGCATGAAGAAAAAGCGCTGTATCAGAGAGTTCCTATGTTGCAGTTTTGTGTTRTATTTATCCAGACATGAATGGGAAGGGCACTTCAATGGAGGATTTCACTTCTGTTCTTAACCTTGGTTCGGTTGGTGTTCCCACTTCAATGTGGATCTTCATACAAGCTTCGATCCCATTCTAATCATCATATCTCATTGAAAATAGACGCCTTGCATTTATTGGGTCTTATATGATGGTTAAGGTTCCTTGTTGAAAATTATTTATAAGAAATGAAGCTTTCTTACTCAATTTTGTCATGAAGTTGTAAGATTCCATGTGATTCCATTGAAGTTGGATGTATATGAGCTTTCCTTCTTTTTTTTCTAATTTGTTTTAGTGCAGCCTGTGCGTAGTCTGCAGATAAGTGGGGTTGCAACTTCTAAATTTTGGTCACTAATGCTGTGTTTGTGTTTAATGTGAGCTGTCTGTGTTCTCCCACATTTCCCAAAGAATATTAATTTTATGAACCAGGCAATCTGCTTAAAACGAGTTTACCTGTTGATCTGATCAAGACTGGTCATCAATGGAGTAATGCTTGGATGGGAAATTCACTCTCCCATGTCAAAATGGTCCTATTTGCTTTTATTCATGGATTCATTTGTGAATTTCTTACAACGGCTATTCATTAAAAAAAAAATCTTACAACGGCTTGGCATTGGCTCTCCTTTTTCCAGTACTCTATCGGATTTTTAAGGCATTGGCACGTTGCATGGGTGGAATATTGAAGTATCTTTACCATACAATTCGTCCACGGTCCACCTTAGAACTTCATAAATGTTAGTTTGTATTCTATCATATTGGTACTTGTTATTGGTTTACATCGATACTCTTTACTCTCGAGTCTTTACTTCAGTTTCAGTCAACACCCAATTACTACTATTTAAAACCAATTCTCATTTAATATTAACTATAAATTAATTAAAACAAGGAAAAGGAAAAATTAAAGAAAATGATTATTCATGTCCCATGTTGATAAAAGTTTCTTTAAAGCGGAGTGGGTGTTTGTTTTGGCGATGTGGCTCCTTGTTCCTCAATTAAATGGTATCTGTACGTGTTGAATAGATCACGAATGAGAGTCTGACGTTGTATTCAGATGTTTGCTTTTTTTTTCYCTTTCATTTACCATATCAATCACGTGTGAAGATATGTTGTCATTGTTCGTCTTTCACCAAAGTCCAATGATATACAGAACTTTATCAATATCACCACCATTTATTAGTTATTGGACATCCCTCCCTCTACAACTCCAACGCCCTCCACCACCCCCACCGGTCCTCCGCCTCCAAGGCGTGAGCAGCCACCACGTTGTACAGCATGAATCCATTGGTGATCTGAGCTTCGGTTGTGTTGGCGCTACTTTTGGGTTGGGTGAGAAGCAGTGCATTTAGTTTAGTCCAACGTCCATTTTCTTAATTTTGCCATTTCGTTTCTCTTGATCATAAAAAATCTCCCGCAAGCTTTTCTGTGGTTCTGCAGCCGCTAGATCTCCTGTGAGGGTTGAGCATAGAACTCTGTTTAGTTAGCTCATCATATGTATGGTGTTGGTTCTGTTTTAAAAGTAATTTTCTAGCAGTAGGCACTCTGGTTTCATAGACCTCTTCTGGGATTCCAATTCAGGGGGACGCTCAACAGTGGTGATGGACCTGATGGTAAACAAGTGACTACTCTCAATAGATGTCCATTACTTCCGTTATTACCGACTTAATCCATTTTTCTTCTGCATGTTTAAATTACAAAAAATATTAATTTACAGGTGTCTTTTTTCAGATTAAGGATTACAAGTATGATTGTTTTTCTTATTTCTTTTTACAGATTAAGTAATATCACCTCCTAACTCTCTTACATTACCTTTATTTGCTCAACTAATCTAGAACTACATAATCCAAAATTCAGTACAACCATCAAACATTTCATTTTACTTAACAACTAAATGGATAAAAATATAAAAAATTAATAATTAACTTCAACCGAATTCACACCATGTAACTATAATGTACAGAACAAAAAAATAAATAAACAACCCCATGCTCAGCATGGGTTACTCCGCTAGTAATAATTTAAAGCAAAGGTGAAAGTGTGTATATATATATATTTATTTATTTATACTTATATTTATATTACCTATAAAAGTGTGAACAAGGTATTGGCTTCGGCAATTTTTGTTTACTAAAATACCCCTTCTCTTGAATTTGTTTCATCTCCATTGTAAGGGCAGAAAATGTAATTAAAATAATACTATTAAATACATTCAATTACTTCTCATTAAGTCGTTAAATAAATCACACCCTCTCTCATTGAATCCAACATTAATACTTATGTTTCTCTCTATAAATTCTACTAATAAATCTATACACAATAATTATTAATACAATGAAATTTGATATTTTTAAAATAAACCTAGAAATGAAGTCATATTTTTCCATCTAGGTGGTGGGTAAGTAGTTCAACCATTTAGGTCAAATGGATAATTTTATGATGTCATAAATAAATAATAAAAATTTAAAAATACAAAATATAGAAATTAAAGAAATTTTAAAAAATTGGATACAATTATTTTATTATATATTTGTCATATTTAAAAAATAAGTATGATATAATAGACATAATTTTATTAATGATTGACACTAAATATACAATTTAAAATCGATGGGAAATGAAACAATTTTCCTATCTAGGGGGTGGGTTAGTGGTTCAGCCGTTTAGGTCAAATGGCTTAACTCATGATGTATAATTAAAAATAGAATTTTTAAAATAGAATAATACAAAAAATACAAAACAATTTTCAGCACATCTATTATAGGGGTGAGCATAATTCAGTTAAAACCGAATTGAAAATTTTGGTTTATGATGTCATAACTAAGTAATAAATATTAAAAAATATATAGAATTTCAAAGAAAAATATAAGCTTTTTATAAAGCATTTTGATACAATTCTAATGTTATATATTCATAATAATAAATATGAAAATAAGAATTACTTTTATTAATGATGAAAATGGAATACAATATTTAAGTAGAAAATGCAATTAAAATAATACTATTAATTGCATTCAATTATTACCTCTCATCAAGTCTCACATTTAAGTCATTAAATAAATCACATTCTCTCTCTCCCTCTCTCTCTCTCTCTCTCACACACACACACACACACACATTCAATCCAACATTTATACTTTTGTTTCTCATCATTAAATTCCACTAATAAATCAATACACAATAGTTATTAATATAATGAAATTTTATATTTTTAAAATAAACTTAGAAATGAAATCATATTTTTCCATCTAGGTGGTGAGTAAGTAGTTCAACCATTTTGGTCAAATGGATAATTCCATGATGTCATAAATAAATAATAAAAAATTATAAATATAACAATATAGAAAATAAAGAAATTTTGAAAATTTTGGACACATTTCTATTATTATATATTTTTTATATTAAAAAAATAAGTATGATAAAATAGACATAATTTTATTAATGATGGACACAGAATATAAAACTTAAAGCTGATGGAAAATGAAACAATTTTCCTATTTTGGGGGCGGATTAGTGGTTCAACTTTTTAGATCAAATGGGTTAACTCATGATATATAATTAAAAATAAAATTTTTAAAATAGAACAATACAAAAAATACGAAACAATTTTGGGCACATCTATAATATTATATATTAATCATATAAATAAAAAATAAGTATGATGAATAATAACTATTTTATTAGTGATATAAATTAAATGAAAATTTTAGAACCAGTCTAAAAATGAAAACAATATCATATTTAGATGGTAGGTTAATAATCTGATCTTCTAGGTCAAATGGGTCAATCTATGATGTCATAACTAAGAAATAAATATTAAAAAAATATAAAGAAACTTAAAGAAAAATATAAGCTTTGTATAAAGCATTTTGATACAATTCTAATGTTATATATTCACAATATTAAATAAAAATAAATATGAAAAATAAAAAATACTTTTATTAATGATGAAAATGGAATACAAGATTTAAAATCAACCAAAAAGTAAAATGGTTTTTTCCATCCAAGTGGTGGGTTAGTGGTTCAATTGTCCATACCAAATGGATCAACACATGATGTTATAATTAAATAATAAAACACAAAATTATAGAAAAGTGTAGATGAATTTGGGTACATTTTATGATATTATATATTCATCATATAAAAAAAGTGCGATAAATGAGAATTATTTTCATTAATGATGAAAAATGGGATAAAAATTAGAAAAAAATAAAAAATTAATGTCTAACACATGACTCCACTAACCATGTCAAATGGTTCCATGATTTAATTAGCTTGGCCACCATAGGCAAGTGCTTTGGTGGTAAATGAACCTACAATCTTGAATTGGGTGGTTGGTTAATCAATCTAATAAATTGATTTGACCCCAATATTAAAATCCAATATCAAACAATATATTGGGATTTCATTTTCTCTTGTTAAATAAGTAATTTTTGTTATTCCATAAATTAAATAATAAAAATAAAAAATATAGAATTTTTTATAAATTTTATGAAAAAATTTGAACATGTATTAATATTATATATTTTTCATATTGAACAAAAACATATTTGAAAAAAATGAGAATTATTGTTAGTAGAAATAGAAATAACTAAAATACAAAAAAAAAACAAATTAATGTATTAACCATAGTCCATTTTCTTGGTTAAATAGGTTAGTGGTTCTACTTGTAAGGACCTAATTTGGTTCTTGACCAAGTCAATGGTTTTTTTTTTTTTGCAATAAATTGGTTTAGGTTAAAACTTACTAAAAAAATGTATCCAATTGACAAACCAATAAATCCAACTCTATGGTTCAACCGCATATTGAAAACTTTGATAGAAATTATAAGAACATTTGAAGTTAGGTCTTTGAGTTGAACGAAAATATGTACATTGCCACGTGCAATACATGTACACTTTTTTATGGAACCTTTTTTAGCCTAGGTATCCGTTTGGGAGTACTAGAGCATTGGTTCAACTACTACTCAACTAATTTGGAGAAGCTTTAGTGGAAATTTCAAAGTCATGCTTTTAGTTTTTTAGGATTCTCACCATGGTTTTCAAAATCGGACTGGACCAGAAAAACCAGTAACCATTCAGCCCCCTGGGTCTAGTTATACTGTAAATCATTATTTATTAAATAACCGTTGAAAAGGTCAAAAAATCACTAACCAGGGTAGTCGAACCGCTAAAGCGTTCAACCCGGGCAGCGGTTCATGGGTAGCGAAATTCATTTCCATTCGATTTAAGAAAAAAAAATGCCATTCGTGTCCCCCGATTCCAGCCTTACGAGTTAGGGTTAGAACGAAAGTTCATTTTTATTCTAACCCTTCCAAGTTTCAGCTTTCCTCTCAAATTTCATACTTTGACGGCACGACCGACGACCTATGGCAGCTAC